ATTTCAGTGTCACATAACAGCAATAAAGAAAACACTGGTTTATTTTTTTAAAAATGCATGGTGTTTGGAGTCACTCCATCTTTTTATTCTGCATTACTGCTATCTGCTTTGGCTACTGAAAAAAACAAGACCCGAGTTCTGCCAGATTCCTGTTCTGCTAGTGGTGGGTCCCACTAGCATGCAGGCAGCACTGGATACTTACTTATTTATGTAGCAAGCTTCTATGCCGCCCCATTCGCCCAAGCCTCGGGATGGCTCACAACAATAAATAAATACATGTCAACCATATAAAAGCAATATAATAACAATATAATTGGAGACATCCTGGCCAAAGATGAAAATCAATTAATAATGTTAACAATTAAAATGACATTTAAATAAAAAGGTCTTGGCCTGGTGCCGAAAAACAAACAACGATGGACCTCTCTGGGGAGCGCATTCCATAGATTGGGCGCCACCACAGAGAAAGCCCTCCTCCAGGTGCTTACCCTCCTAATATCCTTCACAGAGGATTCCCGGAGAAGGGCCTTTCCCGTGGATCTCAAGGGGCGGGAAGGCACATATGGACGTAAGCGCTCCTTCAGGTAACCAGGACCCAAGCCGTTTAGGGCTTTATAGGTCATCACCAACACCTTGAATTGGGCCCGGACTTCAATGGGGAGCCAGTGAAGCTGACGGAGGACTGGAATCATGTGAACATAACGCCCAGTCCCCGTCAGCAGCCTGGCAGCTCTATTTTGCACCAATTGAAGTATCCGGACCATCTTCAAGGGCAGCCCCACGTAGAGCACGTTGCAGAAGTCTAGTCGGGAAGTTACCGGTGCGTGTGTCACTGTCGCCAGGCAGTCGTTCTCCAGGTAGGGACGCAGCTGATGGATCAGCCGAAGCTGAAAGAAAGCGCTCCTCGCCACCACCTGAGCTTCAAGTGAAAGTTCTGGGTCGAGGAGCACTCCCAAGCTGCGAACCTTGTCCCTAAGAGGGAGTGCAACCCCATTCAGGACAAGGTCAAGGTCCCCTTCCCCAAAGCCCGATCCGCCTACCAACAGGACCTCTGTCTTGTCTGAACTGAACTTCAGTTTATTGGCCCTCATCCAGCCCATTAGCTCAGCCAGGCACTGCCTCACCTGGATTGGTAGAAAACGAGATGTAGAGCTGAGTATCATCATACTGAATATTGAAATAAAGAGGAAGCATCAGAATCATACTGCGCCCTTCCTGCAATTGGTCATTTGCCTTCTAAGAATGGGAAGTGATGGACCTGTCTCCCCACTGCTCAAGTACAGCACTTTCTTGTTCCAGTGCAAATCAATTGCCAACATTTCATTCATATGGGTGAAAAAAGAGGTACAGTCAAGGGAAGTGTCTGTATAAGCAGTTAAATCTGCCCTATCTCCTGGTGATTTTGGCCAATTTTATTTGCTCTATAGAACTCAGTGAGAGCCACCAGACATAAAGGTAGCCCCCGTTTACATGGCCTGATGCTGGGTTTCATTTCTTGGTCACACGAGAGCAAGACTAGATGCTTATTAGGCAAGTGGGGGGGAGGAAGATAAGGGAGTGCAGAAGCTGCAAGTAAGATCTAATAAAATCATAGCCACATGCTACCCCAATGTTTTTTTCTCAATTCTTTATTAGACAGGCATCTGTTCTTTCTAACCTGTGGGTCATGGCTTCTGCCTTATTTAAATGTTTTTTGGGGGAAAAGTGAACTTAAAAACTTCTTGTAAAGACAATTACCATGATAGATCAAGCACAGATTAAGAATAAATCAGATTAAGCAACTACAAAAAGCAACATAATGGGAAATTGGGGGGGGGGGGTCATAAAACCATAGAAATCAGGCATGAGATGTCAGATTAAATAAAATGTGTTGATCAAGAGGGAAGCAGCAACATTCAAAATTACTGAATGCATGGTTTGTGTAAGTTTTCTGTAGCTGGAGACAAGGCCATGTGGCTTTGCTTTCATGCTAGTAATGCAATGCCAAAATTAAAGCAACAGTCAGTCACTGCTTTCGGTCAGAGTGTCCAGAAGCCAAGAGGCCAGAATGTAATGCAGTGTTCAGAATCTGGAAAAACAAGTGCAGTTGATAATGAGTTAATCTGGTGTGCCTGACAAACTGTGATTTCAGGTAGCCGCACATGTTCAGGAAAATGGTACACTATGTTGCCTGCAGACTAATGTATGCTAATCACAGAGACTAGTGTCTTCTTTTCTATTAACGCTGGCAAGGAAAACTGGTTTACTTGGATTCATGAACACTGCATTTGCTAAATTATGGGATGGAAATGAAATTTAAAATTAAATAGCCAAATTTTGTTTATACTGATTCCTGCAATAATTGTTTACTGAGATCTGTTGCACTTGTGCACAAATTTGAAGTAATTGAACTTTGTCTTTCTACATTGTGTTAAAGTAGTCATCAAAAGCCATTTATGCCAGCTCAGAGATTTGAAATGCAAGTCAGCATTTACAGTTAATAAAAAGCTAGAGGAGAATATTATTCAGATAAATACAAGCAACAGACTATTACATTGCACCTAGAATTACAATAGCATGAATTAAAGAACCAAGTAGGAATTCTATAAATATTCAGATTCCAGCAGCGAATTCTTAAGTAGGAGTTAAACCTGTGCAAAAGTACAGTTCAAAAGTACAGTTCATCAACACAACTGAATGTTGCACCAACACAAGGTCCCTATTCTGAAGATCTCAATGTCCGAAGCCTAATCCTATGATGTAAAGTAACTCTCATTTCTGTTTGCCTGCCTGCCTTCCAACCTTCATGTCAGCAGTATGAAAGCAAAATGATGGGGTGCCACACAAAAGTATTCCTTTCCACCAATATTCTCTTCCTCCAGCAACAGCTCCCATCATACAGACAGTAAAGCGCACCCAGACCATTCACACAAACTCTCAGGCATTCTTAGTCTCTTTAAGAAGGGAAGCACCAAATGTGGTTAGTTCGATTAAGTGGTATCTTTTACTGTTCATATTCTCACAAACATCAATGTACCAGTAGCATAATTTCAGATCACTGCTTTGTTCAGTTACAAAAAGTATATCAAAGCTTTAAGGTATTTCATAAAGAAACGGAATTCTATATTAGATATATCTAGCTCTATTTCCTGTAATTCGTAAGTTTCAACATGAAAATCAAAAAGAAACACTACTTTTTACCAAATATCAAGCCTTCTGTTTCAGATTGGAATCTTTACTGGCAAACTAAGAAAACTAACGATAAATTATCTTATTTTGCCTTTTATTTATAATAGTGGTGAGGTGCCAGGGTAGTGGGACCAGATATAATTGCAACCCCACTGAGGCCTTGGCTCAGAGTCTCCTGATCTCTGTGGACAAAAAGCATTGCGCCCCTGGGCAGGCCCAACAGGGCCCAGGAACTCGCTCAGGCTTCAGTGCCTTGTTTATCCAGCAGCAGTGTGGCCACCAGTAGCTTGAGGGAACAGCTGCAAAGGTTCTCTCTTTTACTCCAGTGACATTTCTTGAGACATTGTCACATCATTCCAATGTCTGTATCCATATCTTTGTTCCAAAATGAAAAGCTTTTTAGGTGTGTAGATGTGTGTTTAAGTAAAGCATAACAGCAAGGACAGGCGACTGTGAGTGTGGTATCTTCGCTTTGCTAATTACAATACAGCAGCAGATAGTAAGGCTCAGCAAAGAACATTCCCATTCCAAGTACAACTTAAGGCCACAGCAGCACATGCCAAGTGCTACACAATTTAATAAGCATTAAATGTTGCTAATGTCTGTGTTATTAACATAAATATTTGTAAGAGTTGGGCCTTTCAAACTGATGAGTTTAGGATAAGAATGACAGGTAGGGTGGCCATTTATGAATGACCAAAAGAGAAAAATGCATTACCAAAAAGAATAGATTAGCATAAAATTTGCATAAATTAAATGTGTACTTGCAAATTTAGGATTATTGTAATTTAAATAGAAATACAGTACATCTTGCCATGGTGTTGAAGATTATTAGTTGGTGACCTATGAACCTGCCAGATCAGCCTGCCATCTGTTAATTTTAAAACAAGAACCAGATAGATTATCTCTTTAAATGGAGGATCCCTTTAGACAAACAGCCCCTTTGCAGCCCTTCAAACAGAGGACTGTCCTGTGTAAATTCAGACACCGGACCACTCTAAGAAATTATTTTTACAGCCCACGCTTCTAAGGTCTCAACAAGGGATCCAGCTGTGAAATCTGCCTTCCGTTGTTACCTCCCATCTGCCTTTAGTGGTGGTGATACCTTTGCCAATGGGAATGCAACTCTTGCCTTCCTGCACCTGAGCTATGAGGTTCTTCCTCAGAAGCTGCTGACACATCTGGTGCATCTTGCACTTTCTAAGCCCTGTAAACAGATTATTTCAACCATGAAGGATGCTGCATTAAGAAAAGCTGGTTGTAATGTTTTGGGGTTATTAGCACAGCGAATTTCATATGGCTTCCAATACTTACAGTTCTGACTGTTTCCAACAGTGGTCTATAGTGATGAAAACTACTGCAAGCGAAGGCAAAGGTTCTACAAGTTCATGCCAAGAATGGCTAAGCTTTTTGTTTTTCAACGGGGAATGTTCATTCAACAAATATTGTGACTGGCGTGTTCTGAAGCTTGATTGGAATTCTTAGTTCAGGTTAACGGGGACTGAAGAACTGATTGTATTAGTATCTTTTATGGCAATCTATGGTAGAATTATCCCTTCTATTCTTCATACTGGATCCTCCAAAATACTGCTGTTATTCAAGAGTCACTTTATTAAAGAAAAAAGAGGAGGAGCAGGGCCATTTACTGTATGCTATAATTTTGTTCATTATTTTTTATTTCAATGTTTCCTCTTAGATAGAAGTTAGTGGCTTCCTGTTCTAAATTTTGTTAAAGGGCAAAAAATATCAACTTTTCTCTTCATCTGTTTAGATTTATTAGTTTGAAGGTTTCCTTTTGCAATAACTTTACTTGCTGTCTGAATCTATTGCAGTCTGCCTGAATATTATGACTATGGTCATGGAACAAGTGAAGATGCTTATGACAGCTACGGTAAGGCCTGTTCTATTTTTGGTAAAAGTGTGAAGTTAGAAAACCAATCACTCAGTGACAACTGAAAATCTCTCATACATTCTTCCACTCCTATTTTTACAGGGACCAGGCTAAGCTGATTTATGTCATTTTGAGGCAATATGTGGGTTGTGGGATAGAGGCCAGGAAACTGAAGAAATCCATTTTAATCAGAGTTTCTCAAAAGCATTAGTGGTAGATCAGTTTTAAAAGCAATAGTGAATCCTGATTAGTGCCCAGATCTATGTTGCAGTAAGATCTGCCAGTCCTACTGATCTGACAAGAATGAGGTACATATCTGCTATCTTATGCAACAAAAGCAAAATCAACCCAAAAGCTTCACCCTTTTTAGAAAGTAAATACTTATCTAATACTTCCATCACATGTATTTTTAAAAAGTAGCACTTTGAATATGTGGCAGAGATTAGCAATTTTATTTATTTATTTATTTATTTATTTATAGCATTTGCATGTGGTCTTCCAGCTGTTTTAGGGTATAATTCCTACTAAGCTTAGCCAGTATAGACATGGTGAAGGATGATGGGTCCAAGTTGCTTCCCCCAGTGTACTGCTTCCATGAGGTCAAACCTTGGTTTGAGTTCATGAGAACAGTGCTTTCCAAAATTCCTGTTTATTTTGTCAAACAAATTTTATTCACCCACTACACACATGCACACCTAAATTACTTAACAGAACTCACTCCAACACAGGGTTGCCAATGGACTGGAGGTGGGGATGGGGACAGTTTAAGCAAAGTTTTATTGTTGTTTTGAGACTCATTACCTGAGAAATAAAAACACACACCCTGCCAACTTGGATTCATTTGGTAGAACACAATACATAACACACCCTCACCACCACCTTGGGGCTATCTCAGACCCACCAAGAACTGCTGCTTTCTGTCACCACATCAGGCTCACTAAGGCCTTTAGTCTGAATCTCTGTCCAAGTATTATTATTAATAATAATAATATTAATTATTATTATTATTTTAAGAAGCAGCTCTAGTAACGTGAAATAAATGCTTTGTCCTGGTGGTGCTCATGTCCCAAGCCAGAGTGTCTCACATGGTCTCATGAGGCTCTCCCAGACACGATCTACTTCGCACTGCGCTCAAGCTGTGGGACCTTCCTCTGAGTGCCAACCCGACAGGTAGCTCAGAGGATGGCAACAAGGGAGAGGGCCTTTTCTGTGGTGGCCTCCCTGCTGTGGCCTTCCCGGTGCCAAACTTGCCATCTTTTCAATTCCAGGTCATCTCAGGGGCCTGAAAGAGTTATCTGGGTGATACTTTTCCTTTTCAGGATTTTTTTACTGTCTTGTTGCTATTTGTACTGTATTTCATTGTTCTGGATTATACTGTGGTGTATACCACCCAAAGAGCTTTGGCTATGGAGTATTATAGAAATGAAATTAATAGTAATAATAACAATAGGAACAACAGCAGCAGCAACAACAATCAGATATTTTGCTGGCTGACTTCTCCATTCATTCCAGGAGAGTGTACAGAATTCCTCCTGCAAGGAAATTTACAAGCAGAATTCCTTCCTCCAGTCAAATTTATTAAGGCCCTTTTGCTTCCATGTGCATATAACAGTAAGGAACAGACCAGACCTTACATGAATTCTGTGTCTAGTATCAATGCTTTTAAATTATTACTTTATTTTTACGTTAGAATAGAAACAGGGTCTCCAGTCTGGATCAGGGCTACAATATGAAGGTTGGGGGGCTTTTAAGATCCAGAATGAGGCCTCTCTGCCTACTCTAGAAAAGAAATGAAAACACTATCACTGGATCATGGTGATGATAAATATATGTATTATTGCAAGTGAATATTACTTTTTATGTGATAATCCCATTTTTTAACTGGGATTAAGAAAAAGCAGTAATATGGAGGGGACTGAATACCAGTCCTCCATGTAGGAAAATGTAGGTTGCCTAAACAAACCATACTCACCTACGAGATAGACCACGTGAAGCACAAAAATGGGAGCTTTCCACAAGGTGTATCTCTGCTTGTCGATGGAACGTAGCCTCATAAATGAAACACACCTGCACATGCTCACGCCTGCAGTCGTAAGCCCCTACTGGAGCTGATTCTATTCTATGGGTGAATGATCTAGCTGATTTTAAAGCAGTTGACAGCAGTCAGCTGAAGGTGTTGGGAGCAAGGGAGATTGTGGGCCCAGGCAAGTGTTCCCACAGGGCTCCGGCCATTTCAGAGATGCTTATTCCGATTCAGAGGAGAAGGAGGAAGCAATAAAGAGTGTTTTGCAATAGAAATGGCCAGTGGCCGGCGTTCGTTTAAAGGAGGAAATGCAGCTAGTGACAGCAGGCCAGTGGAAGAGATTTAGGTTGCCATCCTACACCCAGGAGTCAGCCCTTATCGAACTAAAAGTAGACACGGACATAACTGAATAATAGCACATTTGTTGAATTATCCCTTTGAAATCAGCACTAAGCCAACGTCACAGGGAGGCATGCTTGGGCACATGTTGAGGCCAGTCCTGGGACCCATGGACAAAAGTCCTCGGAATTCTGCCTCCTCCTCCTCCTCCAGCTCCTCACCATGGCACCCTGCTTGCTCACCAGCCCCTCACTCTGGCTCCACCAGCAGTGGTGGTGAGCAGCAGCAGTGGTGGGTGCCGCTGCCCACTTCCGCTGGCTAGCTGCCTGGCACACAAGCAAATGCTGGCGATGGCAAGAAGGAGGGCAGCAGCTGGAGCACGTGGTGGTGGGAAGGTAGGTGCCCAGGGAAAGCGGGTTCTTGGGAGGATGCCTTACTCAGAGCACCTCCAAAACCTGGAAGTGACTCTGACGCTGAGGCTGGGATCCCAACCACACTTTCCTGGGAGTACCGTTGAACACACTGGAAGCCACTTCTGCATATGCATACACTGAGTTGCACCATTAAAGTGTTTAACCATAGACAGAAAGCAACCTGCCCATTTATTTATTAATTATATTTCTATCTTTTGTCCTCTTGTTAATCTTATCCTCACAACAGCCTTTCAGGGTAGGTTAGACTGCAAGTCAGTGACTATCTTAAAGTCACCCGGTGAGCTTTGTAGCCCAGCAGGGACTGTAACTCAGATCCAGCTCTCAGGAGGCAGTATATCTGACCTCAAAATATTGTTTATGTTTGTATCAAGGGGCTCAACACCAGGGATTGATTTTATATAATTCTCCACTGCTAAAATGCATAAGAGTTGGCCATAAATACTTGCAAAAATTGCTGCAAACAAAAACTTTGACGTAATTCTATTGAAGCACATAATCATTTATTCCAATAAAAATATGTCAGAAATAGGTCAAAGAATACAAGTGGATATAGCAGTGAGAATAACTAGAAATCATGAAAAGTAGGAGATACAGAGGAACAACAAAAGTTTATACAAGCTGACAGTTTTAAAAATAATTGTGTTTGTTTAACTGTGGAGCACATTCTAATCCAAGGCAGCATTTCAGTTCCTTCATGCATGATTTAAAATCATGATTTCTTAATAGGACAATGTCAAACAAAGATATTAGTAAATGGGAAACGGCATTTTGTTCCACAGTTAAGATTAACAAAGCCGTAATCCTATGTGTGTTTGGACAGAAGTAAGTCATAAAAATTCCCAGCATTATGCAGCTAACCAGGCTGGCTGTGAGGTACTGGAAATTTTAGGACTTTTCTCTCTAGAAGTGCACAGCACTGCATCATAAATATGGGACCCTAAAGGTACACTGAAGAAGTGCCAATGCAGTTTCATATCACATTGCTTTCTCTGGGTTCCTGCTTTCTCCCTCTTTATTCTTTGAGACGTTCACCCACATCCAAACTTTGCCTTGATGTTGGATACAACCCAGGGGACTGATTTTTAAGAAAATGTGTTTAAAGTGGGGTTGTGCAAAAAGTACATACATTAATTTCAGTATCACTTCCAAAGAGATTGACAAATAAAAATGTTTATTTACCCTACTTTACACCAAAGATGGAAGGAATCTTTAAAAGGACAATTGTCCCATCCTTTCCTTACAGTATGCAGTTTATGACTGCAGAAAAGTTAGGCCATTTCTCTGCTTATGGCTGAGCACTCCAGGCATCTGATCAGCCGGTGCCATAGTGTTTGCTTGTTATTTACTTTTGGCCCTTCATACATTCTGTACACCAAAGTTGTTGATTTGGGGACAAAAAGTATTGTGATCTGAATGAACCAAAATGAAAAGGCTTCCCTAACTTGCACTGTTAGGTTTTATGGCCAGGATGTCTTTTTCTACTAAATTCTACAGGGTCAAGAATGCTGACTCTTCCTGAACTTTTCTAGGAGCGCTGCTGCCTTAATAAGTGCAATGGGTAATTGAATTCAGTTCTTAGTGATTTCAAGTTTTCATTTGATCTTAGGATTTACAGAACACCCCACGGAATGCTTGTCCTCTTTTTCACTCCTGCCCTCTCTCCATCCCTCTTCATTATCTCTTCGACTTCTTAAGAAACGAATCCTCTCCTTTGGAGTCTGAGTCAGTAGCCTCCCTAAAGGCCAATTCTCCTAAGATATACCTAAAAGATGGTTTATTAAATCCTTTGGTATCTTCCCTCTGACAAATAATTGTGGTGGGGGAAGGTGGAGAATTTCTACAGAGAAGTGCCGACTTCTCTGCAGAGGTAGCCATTGATCTCCAATGAGCTATGAATCTTCTATTGTCTGATATTATCAGTATGTGGAAGAAATGAGGACTTTGTTTATGAGTCTTGTAATCTGATCTTGGAAACAACCCTTGTGAGTCATGACTTTGTAACTCTGTGCTAATGATCAGATCTTAACTTAATTACATACCATTCAGCCGATGATCAAACACTGTTTTGGGTGCTTATTGCTTATTTGCCCAATATATAAATAACTTCACATTTTCCTATCCAGGCTGGTTCTTTTTTCCTTTAGGAAAGTGAATACTGAATGTCAATGTCACACAATGTAAGGACTGGTATTAAGGCAAAACAA